CTCTCTTTGTCTTGAATTTTTGGCATTTTAATTATGACATGTCTGGGTGTGGGCCTCTTTGGGTTCTTCTTGCTTGAGACTCTCCGTGCCTCCTGAACATGTGTGATGTTTTCCTTGACCAGGTTAGGGAAGTTTTCTGCCATTATTTCTTCAAACAGGTTCTCTAACCCTTGCTTACTTAAGACCTCTTCTGGCACTCCTGTGATGCAAATATTGTTATGTTTCATGTTGTCCCACAGCTCCCTTAGACTCTCCTCTTGTTTTTTAATTGTTTTTTCTTCTTGGTTCTCTGATTGAGTGATTTTTTCTACCATGTCTTCTAATTCACTGATCTGATCCTCATCTTACCCTAATATTCTGTTCTTTCCTTCCAATGTATTCTTTATTTCTACTATGTCATTCTTAATTCCCTTCATAGTTTCCATATCTTTTCTTATGCTGCTGAGCATTCTTATGATCAGTATTCTGAACTCTGTATCTGATAGATTGTTTATCTCCATTTCATTTAGCTCTTTTTCTGGAGACTTCTTTTGTTCTTTCATTTGGGGCTTGTATTTTTGTCCCCATGTTTTGGCTGCCTGTTTGGGTTTGTTTCTGTGTATTATGTAGATCTGCTAAGACTCCCAGTATTTTGGATGGTCTCTAGTGCAGACCTATGTCAGACGTTTGTGACTGGCCTTGAGTACCCCGTTTGAAGCTTTCCACACTCCACAGCCTGTAGTTATCTCTGCTGGGGCTGTGTGTGTTTGGACAGGACCACGATATGCACCAAGGTCTCCTTTTCCAAGCCCTGGGTCCAGAAGCAAATCAGGCAAAGATTCAAAGCACCCAGAGGCTGTTATTCAGTCTCTTAAGGAGCCTCAGGCTGTAGAAACTCCATAGGGTGGGGTGAGAGGTTTTTCATTGGGTGGGCCAATTGCTTCCTTCCCTTGCAAAAGCTTCTTGGAAGGTAAATGTCTGCCTGAGAAAGATGTCCTCTGCAGTATGGGAGAATGACTCAGCACAGGAGTCCAGAGGGGTGCCCTCTGATCTCTATCTCCAGGGCCCACAGCCCTAGTTTCTCCTCACACAGCTGCAGTCCACTCTGCCCTCCCTCCTGCTGGAGCCCAAGGTGAGTGGCTGCACACGAAACTTTGTGTGTTGGCTCTTTAAGAAGGAGCCTGTATTTCTAGCCATCTCTTCCTGGTATACAGAAACCCTGCTGCTTTTCACAGCCAGATCTTATGTGGGCACGTTTCTAAGTTCTGGTGCTCTGCACTAGAGAGCCCAACCTGGGGTTTAGATCCCACAGTCCTTGGTGGGAACCCCCCAGAGCTGAGATCTCCCTCCGGACCTTCAGCTGCTGCCTGTGGGAGCCCAGCCAGCCTTCTTGCACCTCCGCACTTCCTACCTGTCTCTATGGGGTCTCCCCTTTTCCTCCTTGGTTATGATGGTGCTCCCCAGCTCATCCTCATTTGGCAGTTGATTATTCAGGGTGGTTTTTCTACAGTTTAGTTGTCATTCTGGCTTGATCCCAGGAGAGTGTCGGTGTAGCTTCCTCTCAACACGCGCCATCTTAGAATCCTGGAAGAGCAGCATTTTTGAAAATTCATTTGAAGTGGATTGTTTTGTATGATTGATTATATTTTTCTACATACTTTAACTTTTTCTTGAAATCTCTGCAGTCTTATTTTATTACACAGCTTATAAAGTTTCTGTGATATTCACTAAACTATAAGGCGCGTAATAGTTCCCTTTACAAACTTTCATCATTGTTTACTTGCCCTTTATTAATGAATTAGGAAAAGAATGGAGTCATTGAAACTATTGCTTTTATTTATTTCATTGTCACTTGGTAATGTGAGATATTATATTATAAAATTGATGTTATTATAACAAAGTAATAAAAATAAGCAGTTTCAAGTCATTTGAATAAGTAGTGGAAACTGAACCATCTGAGTCAAATGGTTTAAAGCTCTTCAGAAATGTTTATTACTGTTGTGAGTTACAGTAAACGCCTAATTTATTCTCCAGGCTCCGGAATGTGTACATTACTAACTAGTTTCTCCCTCTTCTACACTATCTTTTTATTTTTATCCTAGAGTCCACCTTATTTCCATTCAGTAACTTGCTTATCTTGTCATTTCACTGTCCAGAAGTGAGAGTCTTTCCCATAAGTCTTTCTAATAAGCTCTCTGTACATCCCCGTAGTAGGAAACACACAGGAGGAATAAAAGGATGCTGATTGGATGAAGAAGAGCTCAGTCAGTCTACAGACACAGCCCCAGCATTCCAAGGTGTCCTTGTTCTGCCACACCCTCCCTGTTCCAATCCTACTACTGTGGAGTCAGTTCTGAGGTCACATTCCTAAGGAAAAAATCATCTGCAATCAAAATACCCTTTAAAAGTCCTTTCATTACCAAGACTTGGGCCCTCATAGAATAGAAGCTGAGAATGAATATCTGCGTGTCTTTACACATCAGCTTTGGCCTCCCCCAGGGGTGAGCGTGGAAAGGGGCAGTGAGGTGGGCAGGTGTCAGGGCAAGCATAGGTGTACAGGACTTGTGTTTCCCCCTCCTCTCTCTGCTGAGCCTGCTCCTCCAGTGACGCCAGATAACTGGAACACGATTCCCCTCCACTGCCTTCTTTCTGGGACCCTTCACTGCAGGTATCCAGTCGAGTCGTTGTCTCAGACAAGTGGGGCTGTTGCTGATCTGGACCAGCCTCGTGGGTCAGCTCTGCCTGTCCAGCTCCATCCTTAGGGAACCTCTGAGACCACTGTAGCTTCCCTGTGCTCTGCTTTAAACTCTGAAGGCCTGGGGAGCTTATGTCATACCTTTTATAGTTTCTTTCTGCCAGATGGCATTGTATCCTAATCATGAGCCTTTTTCCCCAAACTTGGATATAAGTGCCCTGAGGGAGGGAACACATCTTAATATATCTTTGCCAGCCGCACGTCTGAGTGCGTGGGCAGGTGTCCTGTAAGCACCTGCTTGATGGTTTCAGAGGCAAAGGAAAAAGTTAAAACCTCTCGGGAAAACTGCAACTTTATTTTCCAAACAAGGTTTAATCTACTAATAGACTTTCTGTAATACAATGAAACCTTGGCTAAAATAAACCATCATCTCTAGTTAGTTGTAAATTTTTTTATGACTCAACTTTCAAATAGCAAAGTATAGATAAATAAACTTACTAAGGATTTAATAAAACAGACTAAAATAAAACCCTTCCAAGTAAATTCCCTGGGGGCAGTGCAAGTTCATGTCCGTCTGGGCCTCGGCTCAGTCTGTGCTGTCATGGGAGGGTCAGTCTATAGGACAGTCATGCTGAGTCAGGGAGAGAGACTGAATTGCCAAAGGAAAATTAAATTATCTTCCCTGTATTTCCCAAGGCAGGAAAATATACAATTATATTTTTAAGATGCTTAGGACAAATATATACTTCAAAAGAGATTTCTGAATAATTTATTCTTAGTTAACCAAAAACGACACATAGACTATCCCTTTTCTGAGCAAAATATCAATACTTTCTATATATAGTGTGTGTGTGTGTATGTGTATGTTTGTGTGTGTGTGTACACACATATTTATTCAGCAACATTAAATAAACACCTGTTATGAGCCATACTTTATACTAGGCATATGTGACATTGAAAATTTTGATACATGGAATAATTAGACCTCATAATCAACTAGTGATTTTGATACAAATACAGTTGTCCAGTTAATACAACTTGTTTGTTTTCTGATCTTTCTTAGACTGATATGAAAACCAAAGGAAGTTTATTTTGGGTTTTAGACCATACTAAAACTTCATTTGGGAGACGGAAGTTAAAGAAGTGGGTGACTCAACCACTCCTTAAATTAAGGTAAAGAGAAAATTTGTGTGTGTGTGTGTTTAATCTGAAATTATATAAAGTTGTGAAATTAAAGGTATGCTGACCTCATTAAAACCAAGATTACCATGACTTAAAAGAACAGTTTTTTGGTTTGATTCATTTGTTTTTTCTTTTATTCAAAATATTACAGATGTCCCCTTTCCTTCCGATTGACCCCTTCCACCCTCCCCCACCCACCTCACCAGTTCCTCACCACACTATTGCCTGTCTCCTTGGGTTATGCATATATGCATATAAATTCTTTGGTTAGTCTCTTGCCTCCCCACTCATCCAACCCCTCCTTACCTCTGAGATTCCTCAGTCTGATCCATGCTTCCATGTCATTGAATCATTTCTGTCCATCAGTTTATTAAGTTCTTTAGATTCCATGTATAAGTAAGATCATGTGATGTTTGTCTTTCTCTGCCTGGCTTATTTCATTTAACATAATATTCTCCAGGTCCATCCATACTGTCCCAAAGGGTATGAGATCCTTCTTTACAGCTGCATAGTATTTCATGGTATATATGTCCCACAGTTTTTTATCCACTCATCGACTGATGGGCACTTGGGCTGTTTCCAGATCTTAGCTATTGTAAATTGCGCTGTTATGAACACAGGGGTGCATATATTCTTTCTGATTAGTGTTTCAGGATTCTTAGGATATATTTCTACAAGTGGGATCACTGGGTCAAAAGGCAGTTCCATTTTTAATTTTTTGAGGAACCTCCATACTGTTTTCCTTAGTGGTTGCACCAGTCTGCATTCCCCCCAGCAGTGTCCTAAGGTTCCCCTTTCCCCACACCCTCGCCAGCACAAGTTGTTTATTGATTTACTGATGGCAGCCATTCTTACAGGTGTGAATTGATACCTCATTGTGGTTTTAATTTGCATCTCTCTGATGATTAGCCATGTTGAGCATTTTCTCATGTGCTTCTTGGCTATCTGCATGTCCTCTTTGGAGAAGTGTCTATTCAGGTCCTTTGCCCATTTCTTAATTGGGTTGTTTGTCTTCCTCTTGCTAAGTAGTATGAGTTCTTTGTATGCTTTGGAAATTAGCTCCTTATCAGATGCATCCCTGGCAAATGTGTTCTCCAGACCGTGGGGTTCCTTTGTATTTTGAGGCTGTTTTCTTTTGCTGTGCAGAAGCTTTTTAGTTTGATGTAGTCCCATATGTTTATTTTTTCTTTTGTTTCTCTTGCCCAAGGAGATGTATCAGTGAAAATTCCACAATGTGAGATGCCTGTGACTTTACTGCTTATTTTTTCTTCCAGGAATTTTATGGTTTCGCAACTTACATTTAAGTCTTATCCATTTTGAATTTTTTCTTGTATATGGTGTAAGTTGGTGGTCTAGTTTCATTTATTTGTAGCTACCTGTCCAATTTCCCCCGCACCATTTATTGAAGAGGCTGTCTTTATTTACTCCATTGTATGCTCTTGATTCCTTTGTCAAATATTAATTGATCATAATTGCATGGGTCTGTTTCTGGGGTCTGTGTTCTATTCCAGTGATCTCTATGTCTGTTGTTGTACTAATACCAGACTGTATTCATTACCATGGTTTGTAGTACAGTGTGATATCCAGTGAAGTGATGCCTCCTATTCTGTTCTTCTTTCTTAAGATGACTAGGCTGTTCGTGGTCTTTTTTTGTTCCATATAAATTTTTGGACTATTTGTTCTAGCTCTGTGAAATACAGTGTTCCATTGAATCTGTAGATTGCTTTGGGTAGTATGGACATTTTAATGATGTCAATTCTTCCAATCCATGAGCATGGTATATTTTTCCACTTTATATCTTCCTCTGTTTCTTTTTTCAGTGTCATGTAGTTTTCTGAGTACAGGTCTTTTATATCCTTGGTTAAGTTTATTCCTAGGTATCTTATTTTTTTAGGTGCAATGGTAAATGGTATTGTTTTTTTAGTTTCTCTTTCTGAGAGTTCATTATTGGTGTATAAAAATGCCCTCGATTTCCAGATGTTAATTTTGTATCCAGCAACCTTGCTGAATTCATTCTCAAATCTAGTAGTACTTTGATGGAGTCTTTACGGTTTTCTATGTACAAGTCATGTCATCTGCAAATAATGACAGTTTTACTTCCTTCTTTCCAATTTGGATGCCTTTTATGTTTCCTTCCTGTATGATGGCTGTGGCTAGGATTTCCAGTACTATGTGGAGTAAGAGTGGTGAAAGTGGACACCCCTGTCTTGTTCCTGTTCTTAGGGGAAATGATTTTAGTTTTTGCCCATTGAGTATGATGTTGGCTGTAAGTTTGTCACATATGGCCTTTGTTATGTTGAGGTATGATCCCTCTATTCCCACTTTGCGAGAGTGTTTATCAGAAATGGGTACTGGATTTTGTCAGATGCTTTCTCTGCATCTATTAATGTGATCATATGATTGTTGTCCTTCATTTTGTTTATATGATATATCACATTTATTGATCAGCAGATACTATACCAGCCTTGCATCCCTGGAATAACCCCACTTGGTCGTGGTGTATGATTTTTTAATGCTGGATCTGGATCTGGTTTGCTAGTATTTTGTTGAGGATTTTAGCATCTATGTTCATCAGGGATACTGGCCTGTAATTTTCTTTCTTTGTAGTATCTTTATCTGGTTTGGGGATTAGGGTGATGCTGGCCTCATAAAAAGAGTTTGGGAGTCATCCCTCCTCTCAAATTTTCTGGAATAGTTTGAGGACAATAGATGTTAATTCTTCTTTGAATGTTTGGTAAAACTTGCTTGTAAATCCATCTGGTCCAGGACTTTTGTTTGCTGATAGCTTTTTGATTACTGCTTCAATTTCATTACTTGTTATCGACCTATTCAGGTTTTCTGCTTTTTCCTGATTCAGCTTTGGAAGGTGTATGCTTCTAGGAATTTGTCCATTTCACCTATATTGTCCAGTTTGTTAGCATATTATGGCTCATAGTATTTTCTTGTGATCCTTTGTATTTCTGTTGGGTCAGTTGTTATATCGCCTCTTTCATTTCTGATTTTATTTATTTGGGTCCTCTCTCTTTGTTTCTTGGTGAGTCTGGCTAAAGGTGCATCAATCTTATTTATCTTTCCAATGAACCAGCTCTTGGTTTCATTGATTTTGATTTTTTTTGTATTTTTTTTTAGTCTCTAGTTCATTAATTTCTGTTCTGATCTTTATTATTTCCTTCCTTCTACATAGGGCTTTTCTTGCTGCTCCCTCTCTAATTCTTTTAGCTGTGTTGATAGTTTATTACAGCTTTTTCTTGCTTCCTGAGGTCTGCATGTACTGCTATGAACTTTCCTCTCAGGACTGCTGTCACTGTGCCCCATAGATTTTGGGTTGTTGTCTGTTCATTTTCATGTTTTCCCAGGAAGTGTTTGATTTCTCCCTTGATCTCATTGGTAACCCAGTCAGTGTTTAATATCATGCTATTTAGCTTCTGTGTGTTTGAATATTTTTGATTTTAGAATGGTTGATTTCCCCTTTCTTGCCATCATGATCCAAGAAGATGCTTGATATGATTTCCATCTTCTTGAACTTGTAGAGACTTGTTTTGTGCCCTAACATGTGGTCTATTTCTGAGAATGTTCCATGTGCACTTGAGAAGAATGTGTATTCTGCTTCGTTGGGATGAAATGTTCTATAAATGTCAATTAAACCAATTAGACCTAGTGAGTCATTTAAGGCCTATGTTTCCCTGTTGATTTTTTGTCCTGATGATCTGTCCAGTGATGACATTTGGGTGTTAAAGTCCCCCAATGTGACTGTGTTGTTGTCAATCTCCCTCTTAAAGTCCACCAAGAAATTTTTTATATATTTAGATGATCCTATATTGGGTGAATATATATTTATAAGGGTTATTTCCTCCTGTTGGATAGATCCCGTTAGTATTATGTAGTGACCATCTTTGTCTCTTGTGATGGTCTTTATTTTGAAGTCTATTTTGTCAGAAATAAGTATTGCTACTCCAGATTTTTTTTGTGTGTGTCCATTTGCATGAAGTATTTTTTTTCCATTCCTTCACTTTCAGCCTGTGTGAATCTTTTGCTCTCAGGTGGGTCTCTTGTAGGCAGCATACATTTGCGTCCTGTTTTCCTATCCATTCAACTACCCTATGTCTTTTGATTGGAGCATTTATTCCATTTACATTTAAGGTTACTATTGATATAAACTTATTTAATGACAGTTCCCCCTTTATGCTGATATACCTTTCTCTCACTATTCCTTCTTTTTCTTAGAGCAGTCCTTTAAGCGTTTCTTGCAATGCTGGTTTCGTGGAACTGAACTCCTTTAGCCTTTTTTTGTCGGGGAAGCTTTTTATTTCACCTTCAATTTTAAATGATAGCCTTCTGGATAAAGCAGTCTTGGTTGCAGGTTCTTGCTTTTCATTATTTTGAGAACTTCATGCCACTCCCTTCTGGCCTGAAGTATTTCTGTTAAGTAATCTGCTGTCAGCCTTATGGAGTTTCCCTTGTAGTTTAGGGATTGCCTCTCTCTTGCAGCCCTTAGGATTCTCTCTTTGTCCTTGACATTTACCATTTTAATTATGATGTGTTTTTCAGTAGGTCTCTTTGGGCTCCTTTTGTTTGGAACCCACTGTGCTTTCTGAATTTGTGTGGCTTCTCCCTCGCCAGCCTAGGGAAGTTTTCTGTTATTATTTCCTCCAAAAAGTTCTCTATCCCTTGCTTTGTTTCCTCTCACTGTGTTACCCCTGTGATATGAATGTTGTTACGTTTCATATTGTCCCAAAGCTCCCTTAGACTGTCCTCAGGCTTTTTAAGTTTTTTTTCTTTTTGCTGCTTTGATTGGGTGGTTATTTGTACCTTATTTTCTGTCACTTACTCTGTTCTCCTCTTCATTGAGCCTCCTTTTAATTCCTTCCAGCAATTCTTGATGTCAGATACAGCATTCTTCATTTCTTCCTGGTTCTTATTTATGATATCTAGCTCTTTTTTCATGTTTTCACTAAGTTCCTGGACCTTTTCATGAATTGTCTTGTTCTCAT